TTGATCAAATGTGTTTTTATTATAGGATCAAAACAATCTGAAAATTGTTCAAATGTGTTTTTATTGTAGGATCAAACCAATCTGAAAGTTGATCAAATGTGTTGTTATTATAGGATCAAAACAATCTGAAAGTTGATCAAATGTGTTTTTATTATAGGATCAAAACAATCTGAAAATTGATGTATTGGATTTGATCAATATAGTCTGCAAAGGTATTGAGTCTTTGTCACGAACTCTTATCTCAAGATCTGTTTAACCCTATGCAAGATAAATTGATTAAATGTGTCTGATGTGAGCAATGAGTTCTGTAAATTGTTCCAATGTGTCAGATTGATCAATATTGTCTCTGATTTAATCAATGCTTCTAAAAATTAATCTTATATGATCAATAACTCTGAAAATCTTACCTCTGGTTCGTGTTCTTTACTGTCCTTGTCATACCCAGCAGACTCACTAAAAATATATCATATATATATAGATATATATTTAGTTTGAGCTTTTTTAATCAATCTACAATTTTCAAAACTGGGCAATAAAGGGTATATCGTTCACATTTTAAGTGACCCTTCGTTTAGAAAACAAGAACAAACAAAAAACCTGACCGAATCCCTTTTGCGGAGAAGTTTCAGTTCGTGGTGACAATATATTCTCAAAATACTTTTGGTAAAAAATCAGTAATAACGTTTCATGCTTTTTGCTCTATACTTTTACATTTATATCAAACAAGATGATTTTTATGAATAACAATATTATTTCATAAAAAGTCTGTAGAAGTAAGATTGAAATGTCCTATTGACAAGGATACCCATAATATTTTTAGAATATATCGTCAACATGGAGGTAACACTTTATAGTTTATTCTGCCCTCATCAGCAACCTTACAAACAGTATACTTTTCAGGGAATCCATAATCTTGATTTATATTGCTTTATTCCGCTTTATTCCACTTTATTCCGCTTTATTCCGCTTTATTCCTCTTTTTTCCGCTTTATTCCCCTTTATTCCGCTTTATTCCGCTTTATTTCACTTTATTCCGCTCATTCAAATCTTATTTATTGTCTTTAAAAGTTAATAAGTTGAGTGGTGACATATTTAAAACTTTATAATGTAAAATTATAAATATTCCTTTCAAGTATACAATACACACGTCACAGAGATGAAAATATTTGAATGAATGAATTAAATTGAACAAGGTAGTTCAGAATTCAACAATCTTGTATTTGATGAAACAAAACTTTTCAGATTTTCTAATCTTCTATTTAATTTAGTTTTGGAGTTTCTGAAGTGAATCAAAATTAGCAATATTTAAAAGTTTTCGCGTCACTTTTCTGTTAAAATTAGTAGTTTATCACTGTTCAAATATCTGGTTTAAAGTCTATTTTGACAAATTATATTACCAGAGAAATTAATCACCCTTCTGTTTACCAGACACATAAACATTTAATTGAATTACTTAAACTGAATTTTACTTATTTTAGCCAGTAAAACATAAATTGAGGGTTGACCAATTTTGCCTACATAACATCCAGAAAAAGTAGCTGTACACAATTTACAGTCTTTTGGGATGAAAATGTCATTTTTCACAAATACTTATTTAGCGGAATATTGTATAATATAGATATTGGCGCGGCACAACAAATAATCGCATTAAAAAATAGCAATAATTTGACATTTATATTAGTATAACTTTCAGGGTATGACTATTTTTTGTGTTGCTGAATTATCAATTTGTTGAAAAGATGATAAGGACTTTGTTAAAACATTTTATCTTTTCTTATAAGTTTTGTGAAAGCTTTGATACTTTGCTTCATTTGCACTCCTTGCATCCTCTTCTGTTTATTTGAAAGTTTACTCAAGTATTTGTCTTAATCACAGAGACTATGTATAGACCCTGCATATACATACAAAGACTAGATATTATCTGCACATACATACACAGACTAGATATAGACACTGCACATGCATACACAGACTAGAAATAGACCATACAAATACATACACAGACTAAATATAGACCCTTGTATGCATGTCCACAGTGCACATTCATACAAAGACTGGCACATTCATTAACAGACCAGATAAATACCCAGTAAATAGATTACAGACTAGATATACAGTTTAAATTTTGACAGTGGTTTATATAGTGCTGAGTCTAAATTAGTCTGTGGTTAATTTAGTACTGAGTCCAAATTAGTCTGTGGTTTATTTAGTGCTGAGTCCAAATTTGTTTGTGGTTTATTAAGTACTGAGTCTAAATTAGTCTGTGGTTTATTTAGTGCTGAGTCTAAATTAGTCTGTGGTTTATTTTGTGATGAGTCAAATTAGTCTGTGGTTAATTTAGTGCTGAGTCTAAATTAGTCTGGAATTTTTTGTTTTGTTTTGAGTCTAAATTAGTCTGTGGTTTATTTTGTGATGAGTCTAAATTAGTCTGTGGTTTATTTAGTACTGAGTCTAAATTAGTCTGTGGTTTATTTAGTGCTGAGTCTAAATTAGTCTGTGGTTTATTTAGTGCTGAGTCTAAATTAGTCTGTGGTTTATTTAGTGCTGAGTCTAAATTAGTCTGTGGTTTATTTAGTGCTGAGTCTAAATTAGTCTGTGGTTTATTTAGTGCTGAGTCTAAATTAGTCTGTGGTTTATTTAGTGCTGAGTCTAAATTAGTCTGTGGTTTATTTAGTGCTGAGTCTAAATTAGTCTGTGGTTTATTTAGTGCTGAGTCTAAATTAGTCTGTGGTTTATTTAGTGCNGGGGGGGGGGAAATATGATATTTTTCTTGCAATCTAATTTAATAAGATGATAGAGGATTTTTAAAACACGAAAACTAACTTGAGCTAAGAATGTCGGGACCTTATAAAATCGGTCCAGCCGTTTCGCCAGCTATAGCTAGAAGAACTGCTGTCCCTGCTATATACAGGATAGGAACTATACTTACTGTATTGCTAGAAGAACTGCTGTCCCTGCTATGGTGATCAAGAAAACTGCAAACATCGCGAAGCTGATGAACTTGGTTTCGTTGTACTTACTAAAAAATGTATTTAATTACGGAGCCTCAAAAACATGAAAAAGAGACAAAAGCGAGGACGGGGCCCTGATATGCTTTATAGTCTAGCATTTCAAGATTTGGTTAAACTTTTAAGAATATGCTGATAACGGACCCGTACTCTTTTTTCTTAACATCTTTGCAACCTGATGGCGTAGACTTTTAAGTTTTCAAACTTACAGGGTGAGGTTGCAATTATTTAGTAAAACTATTTACTTTAAAACACCTCAAAAACGCATCTTGCTTAAATGTCGTCTTTAAATCTACAATTTTATGTATATTTGTTACCTGGGGACATGCCTGGCCATGTAACCATAGAAGGTTGCAACAATAAGAAGTATTATATTGAATATCTGTGTAGTAAACAGTTCCAGTATAGAAGTATCACAAACCTAGGAGATTGCAACAATAAGAAGTATTATATTGAATATCTGTGTAGTAAACAGTTCCAGTATAGAAGTATCACAAACCTAGGAGATTGCAACAATAAGAAGTATTATATTGAATATCTGTGTAGTAAACAGTTCCAGTATAGAAGTATCACAAACCTAGGAGATTGCAACAATAAGAAGTATTTTATTGAATCTCTATGTAGGAAACAGCTTAGGGATTGAAGTATCAAAAACCTAGGAGGTTGCAACAATAAACAGTATTTCATTGAATATCTGTGCAGTTCAAGGAAAGAAGTATCACAAACTTAGGAGGTTGCAGCAATAAGATTATTTTTCTACAAATGGAGGGCCATTCACTCAAGTTAATTTCATGTACCAGGCCGAGTTTTAGGAAACTAGAACAAACTCTGCAGTACAAAAAATCTATGTAAGGCAAAACTGGACGGTAAACCAAATGAATCATCCCTTTCTAGTGAATGGAATTGAGTATTATAAAATCTTACGCTACTTATTTGCGGATTTTATCCTGTACACAGTCCATTTGAATAAATGATTTAATATTTTTAAGGTGTTTGAATTTCTCCCGTAACCCCCTGGAGTGCCTAGAGAGCCTAGAGAACACAAATACAGAGTTGGAACTTCATCAATCATCAATTTACAGAATAAACAAATATTACCAGCCTGATTTTCTGCACAAAGGTTTCCAAGCGAACCTTTTGCAAACATAACAGAGAATATACAAAATCAAACACTACACAATTAAAATTATGTAAATATATTCCTAACAGGGATGTTCTCCAATTTGAAAATACACATACTATCCCAATTGTTGGTGTTAGTAACAAATTTAAAAATCTAGACCAAAATAAAATTGTGTGTCTTCAGTAATTAGTTTAAAAACTCCGAGTATGTTTCACAGTGTCAGTTTAAAAGATTGGGATTGTTTTACTCTTTTCATTTTCTCTTTCTTACATTGTTTACCTGTATATGCCTATTAGCAGGATAAATGTGTATAACTACACCGTGCGTGTTGTTCATACAGTTCCCAACAATTACTTTATGTACAAAATTACATATTTATTTCTAACTGTACTTAGTATTCAAGAATATTGTAGATCTTTTATTTACACTCATCTATATTAGGCTAAATAAAAAACCTAAAACTGTTTTATGATTTTTTTATAACAAAGTATTTTTAAAAATTGAATTTCTAAAGAAAAAATAAGATTTGGATTGGTACTATGTTGCAACAATCGAGTTCAACTTTGGAATTGAATCTTGCCACAAACTCAAATTTTCTATTTCCTATATTTTAACCATCTGATGGTACGTGTTAGAGATGTCAACGATAGTGTAACGTAACGTAAAATGTACGTTTTTGTACGTTACGTTAAAATAATGTGTAACGTTTGGATATATTCTATATAACGTTAACGTTAAACGTTAACGTTATAGGAGCTCATACCTAACGTTAACGTTAACGTTAGAGGAACAAACCCCCAACGTTAGCGTTTTGTGGTTATGTAACGTTATTTTTCTAATATCTACAACTTGTTTGACCATAACGCAAAGAAATGTTTTGTTTTCATGGGGAGCTTGAAAGTCTAACGTTTGAAAAATTAATTGTGATTTGATTGAATATCGTAACGTTTTTCAAAATTCAACTTATAAAAAGTGTAATGTTGTAGAACTAAAAAATACATTACTGTTTATGAAAACGTGTTGAAACGTTTTTCCTTATAGTATAATGAACAATTCAACGTTTCAGAAATGGTTTATTATTTTAATAATCAGGAAACGAAAGTTTTTTTTTTACAGAGTATAAATTTCAATAATGTAACATATAACAATTAAAAAAAGTAATTTTGTAAATCAAAAAGTTTCATAACTTTTCTCTGAATAGTAATACTAATTTGATTAGTCTAACGTTATATATATGTCTGATAAAAATATTGTTTATAAAACGTTAGGCTATGAGGGCTGAGTTTTAATTTCAAAAGTATAACAATAATTCTGCCAATTGAAACATTTCAGAACGTCTCTAATCTATCAATGTAAGAGATTCGACTGATGATTATGACAGCAAAGAATAATGGTTCAAGTTAAAAGGAAATGAGTTTATGCCACAAACTCTAATTTTCATATACTACACCTTTGCAACCCGATTTCATAGACAATTAATATGGAAATATATAAGGTTTAAACCATCAGGTTGGAAAGATAAAGGGATTAGTATATTTGACAAAAACTAAAGTGTAAATGGTTTTTTTTTGTAACAAGCTATTAGTGAAACTTCAAATCTTATAAATGTTTCTTTTGCCAATGTTTAATGAAACCCACTAAAACTCTGGACACGGAAGACGACATTTAAGAAATTTTACATGCATTTTCTGTTGTAAAGCAAATGATTTACTAATAGCAAAAAAAATCAACTTATTAAGTGGAACGGTTCTGTGAACAAACACAATTGCTGGGTTTCATGTTTACTTGACTAATTGAAATCATAACTTTAGTTGGTGTGGTTCATGTTTTTGGTTGAAAAATTTAGAAATGTAGATATTTGCTAAAATGCAAAAATATTTTATCATTTGGAAAATGCGTGTTGTTTTATTCATCAATAGATTTTTATGAAACTTTAGAATAGAATAAAAAAACTGATATTTTAATCGATTTTTAAAACAATAAGAAAAAAATTTTATAAAATTTTATTTCGCGTTGTTTGTGTTAAAAAGTTTAGCCTTTGTCTTACTTTATTTGATATTTTTTAACCCCAAACATTGAATCCAGAAAACATTTTCATTGTGGTTTGTAAACTAAAGCTAATGCCTCTTTTTTACTCACTTTGTAAGTAACATAAAAAAAACACAAAAAGAACTAAAAATTCGCCATAAATTATAATTTTCTTATATAATATATCTTTGCAAGCTGGTGTTGTAGACCTTTCATATTTCATACTATGACTTCTGTTAAATAAGAAAGCCTAAAGAAATTGAGTTGTTGTCGTCACAAACTTATATTTCTAATCCTTAGACCTTAGATATTTCGAACTATGAATTCTGTTAGATGTGTCCCAAAACATGTCTATTTTTAAGCTCGTCAAATACACGATGATAATTTCAAGTGATCCTATATTTAAAGAGGGCCAAATTCGATTTCCAATGGAAACGTGTATACCTTTATCTTATTGATGATTTGAAAATACCAGCGTTTTCCTATCTTGTAAATGTATGCTGGACATGCCACTCCATAAATGGAAGGTAACTTGAAATTACGTCTCTAGTCCCTTTAAGACACACCCTTGAGTTGAAAGTCTAAATCTAAAAACTTACATTCACAAATTTTGAAAACCGTTAAAAATAATAATTTTATAACATCTTTATATTGCATATTCTTCTACACATTCTCTAAAAAGGTTAACAACAACAGTAACATACATAATACAGGGTGAGTAAAAAAGGGATTAACAACACTATAGTTTTTTGCATGGCATATTTTATGATGAAAAATACTAAAGTAGGAATATAATTATCACGGAAAAAATCTTGTAATGCTTTCATTTGGAAACAATATTATTTTTAATGAAGTGTAATGTAAGAAACGTTAAGGATTGAACATTTTATTACAACGCAACGTATAGAACATTTTTTCAAATCTTTCCTATAAACGAACGGAATAAAGAGTTTTGATTGTCAGTTGTAAAAAGTGTAACACAAAAGTTTTCACAATAACGTTTCGATAAATCGTAACGTAAGAAAAGGTGCATTTTAGTAAAATTTCTAAACGTAATTAAAAGAGTTTATATTGGAAAAGTTAAGATAAAACGTAACGTTAACAAAAAATATTCGTTGCACTGAAATGCATTGCAACGTGCAGAACTATGCCTAAATGATGTTTTATTAAAGCAAAAAGTTTGTCACCTTTTAGTTTTCAAACCAAGTGGAAGTGTAACGTAAGGTCTCTGAAAATATTTACCTTGCATGAAAGTGGAACGTTAAAAAATTGTGGTTATATTACTAAAGCTTTAACGCAACGTTGGGAAAGTTGTTTAAAACGGGAAATGCAAAAGTGTAACGGAGCTTACTTTTTTTCACTAACATTTACTAAAGCTTAACGTTGTATAAGGTATTCAAGTGCAGAAAATTCATTACGTAACGTTACTCTGTGCCATAAAATTTCATCATGTGCAACGTAACGTTTCAAACGTTTATACTTTTGATGAACACTATCGTAACGAAAGCTAAAATCCAGAAAAATCAAAACGTTGACATCTCTAACGTGTAAACCTTTGTTATTTCAAACTTAGATATTTAGCTAACAAAATTCATAGTTTGAAATATCATAAGGTCTATAACATTAACTTGCAAAGATATAGGGATTACAATATCTGAATTTGTGGGAAAATTCAATTCCTTTAAAAAACATTACGTTGTATTCTGCAATTAAGGCACTATCTATCTATCTTATAAAAGACATTTAACCCAGAATGATACATTGCTTATCAATGTATTTCTTTAATATAAATGTAATATTCCTATACAAAGTTGAAGAGCAATGATGACTGTTACTGCTGCTATCTGTAGAGTTTTCTGACCAAATATTGCTAATCTATCCTGCAACTAGGAAAACATGATAAATATATTACTAATCTATCTTGCAACTAGGACAACATGATAAATATATTGCTAATCTATCTTGCAACTAGGACAACATGATAAATATATTGCTAATCTATCCTATAACTATAGCATAGGAAAACATGATAAATATATTGATATTCTATCCTGCATCTATAGAATAGGAAAACATGATAAATATATTGCTAAACTATCCTGCAGCTATAGAATAGGAAAACATGATAAATATATTGCTAAACTATCCTACAACTATAGATATAGGAAAACATGATAAATATATTGCTAATCTATCCTGCAACTATATATATAGGAAAACATAATAAATATATTGCTAATCTATCCTATAACTATAGATATAGGAAAACATGATAAATATATTGATATTCTATCCTGCAGCTATAGAATAGGAAAACATGATAAATATATTGATATTCTATCCTGCAGCTATAGAAAAGGAAAACATGATAATTATATTGCTAAACTATCCTGCAGCTATAGAATAGGAAAACATGATAAATATATTGATATTCTATCCTGCAGCTATAGAATAGGAAAACATGATAAATAACTTTAAAGTTTAAAGTTTTCATTTAATTATGAATTTTAAATGATAGATAGTTTTTTAATTAATGGATGCATCAGTTTGAGAATACGTTTCATCCCTTTTTGTAAAATTTCAAAAAGAAAAAAGAAAATAAAGACTTGAACTAATAAAAGCTCTCCTTCGTAACAAAAACTCTTTTTAAAAACCAGTACAAGCGAATTTCCTCTGTCAGACTTCACATGTCTACATCTTTAATAAAAGACTTGTTTGTACCTTCGAGCAGATTAAACTTGACTGAAGTTGAAGATGTCCATCCTGATAAAATCAAATGATCAGTTTTTAAGGAAATCTTGAAAATTTTAAGTATTTTTGTTTAAAGAGAGTGTTTACAGAGATTTAGACAGCTACAGTTAAACACTAAATATTAAATACATCCACAGAATTTTTGAAATGTCGTCTTGACAATTTTTCAATAGGTTTTATACTATATTACGTAAATCTCAGTATTTGCGAAAATAAGTAAATAGCCATGAATATGCGGGAACAGTTTCATAAATCTCCATATGATCATTAATTAAAAAACTAAATATCTGCAACATTCCATTATCAGAAAGTGAATAATACGACATTTGATAAATTCGTTCGATGCTTTTAATATTTAGGGATTAACTGAATAATAATTGTGAAACGCATTAAAGACTGGATGGACTTTGAAATGTTTCTATTCCTATGCCTTTGTTTTACCTCAGAAAATCATGGGTATAGAGAATAAAGAAAAAGAAAAAAAGGGAATATAGGGGAAACTAAACGGAGAATAAAGAAAAAAAAAATACAGGGGAAACTAAACACAGGAATTTATTTTAAAATGTAATTCTTTGTTTTCAAAGTTTTATGTACAGTAAACACAATATATAAGAGGACTAGGAATACAATTTATTTTGAAAATTAAATCCACTGAAGCAGAAAAATAGAATTCTCACTACTCACATAATGATAAATGTTCAATATAAATATTACAAATGAATATTGGTATATTGGTCTATATGCAATATTATGTGTAATGTTTATCATATCTTTGCTATAATTGTTCTAAACCCAATACAAACTATACAGAAGGAGAAAGTAAAATAATTAAAAATTCAAAACAATTTTGTTCTTCTCCATCGCTCTTCATTAAGAGGAGTTATGACTAAAAAACATAAAATATTTCCATCTTACGTGAAATTTACTTTAGTCTAATTATAATTGTATTTATAAAAAGCTTGTATTAAACGAATGTTTAAAGAGACAGGCCGGCTCTGTATGGTAGTTGAGCTGAGTATGCAGTGTTGTGGAAAAATTCTTTAGGATTTATTTGAGACGTTTTCAGAATTGTTTTTTAATTATTAAATAACGACGACAAAAAATGTAAACAAAATTATACAATAAACTAATTTGTTGTTTAGGAACAGGTTGAGAAAATAAAGATTAACTCTTATTAACGAAAATAAGTAATCTTATTCAATTATTAGTTTCTAAAATCTCTATTTAATCGCAAAGATGTTCTGCAGATTTTCTGGAATTTTTATTAAAAAGACGACATCTGAAGAATTTGAAGAAATCTGCGAACAAATTCATAGAAAATAAGAAATTCAATATAATGATGAAAAAGGAAATAATTAATTCTAACTTCGATTTATTGACAAATTTCTTTTGAGAAATATGTTCCTAAACATAACATCTAATTAGTTTACTATAGAATTTTTACTATATTTTTCGTCGTCGTTATTTAATAATAAAAAAAACCGATTTTGAAAACGTACCCACCCAAATTCATGATTTTGAACGTCGACTTTCCACTCAAGCTCAGGATTTACTGATTATTAAAAAGTTTTATAAGTCTCAAATGAATCCTGAAGAATTTGTCCACAACACTGTATACTCAGTTTAACTACAGTGAAACCCTTAATAACGAATACATCGGAAGAATTTATCAAATGTCGTCTTGACAATTTTTCAATGAGTTTCATACTATATTTCGTAAATTTCAGTATTTGCGAAAATAAATAAATAGCCATGAATATGCGGGAACAGTTTTAAAGAGTTCCATATAATCATTTAATTAAAAAACTAAATATCTGCATCATTCCATTATCAGAAAGTGAAGAATACGACATTTGATAAATTCTTTCGATGTATTCGTTATAAAGGGTTTCACTGTACCTTGCATAGGCGGTCTGTCCCTTTAAAGTCCTCTTAAAGGAAGTGTTATAAGTAGTTTCAAGTAAAAACTGTCAAGACCTCAGAAAGAAATATTGGTATCAGTTTCATAGAAAAAATTTGGACACTTAAAAATTTGAGAATATTGCTTTATCCCTTAATAAAAGGTATCTCTGCAGGGTGTGACCAGCACGAACTATCACAGAGAAATTAAATACAATTCCGGAGATTATAAACAAGATGTTATAGATCCTCAAAGTTCTAACTTCTGACTTTCTTGAATTAATTACTAAGTAAAAAACTTTCATTTTCAACTGCGTAAAAAAGAATATATAATATTGTCTAAACCTTGGTTGGATGGAAAAATATGTGAGTAAGCTTAAAGTTTTGTTGATGCTTGACTATTTATGCTTGAGAACATGAATACACAATAGAGATGTATACTGAACAATATGTCAAGATGAAGTCTAGCACAGGTTCGTCCAGATAAATGTTCTTATTTAAGTGCTTTCAAGGTACGTGCCATTCCAGCACAAAATATTAAGAAAAACATGTTTGTATTAAAACCAATAATGGTCAGTTTTATCCTGCAGAATTTCCCTCGGACCTCGGTCAATTAAAATTTTTTGTTTGGAAGTTATCGGAAGTAATAGTCAAAGTCAAAGGGCGGATCAAGGGTCAGGTCAAGGGTCAGGTCAAGGGTCAGGTCAAGGTTCAGGTCAAGGTTCAGGTCAAGGGTCAGTTCAAGGGTCAGGTTAAGGGTCAGGTCAAGGGTCAGGTCAAGGGTCAGTTCAAGGGTCAGTTCAAAGGTCAGGTCAAGGGTCAGGTCAAGGGTCAGGTCAAGGGTCAGGTCAAGGTTTTAGGTCAAGGGTCAGGTCAAGGTTCAGGTAGGTTGAAGTCAGGACAAATAAGTTTAAATGCATGCGTATAAGAGCCACACTTTATCGCACCCGTCAGATAAAATATTTGATGGGAAATCCATAATTTATATTTTCATTAAAATTTTGTTTGAGATGACCTGAAAGGTTTTGATGAATATCTGATAAATCTTGTAGGTTTTAACCAGGATTGCTGCTAGTATCAGGGTAGGACCCAGAGCAGACATCAGCTGAAGCAAGTAGCAACTATATCAGGGATGGGGTTTTTATCTTTTTTTTCGGTTTAAGCCCAAAAAGTTTATATATATTTAGAGGGATGAGTGCGATTCGATCTGAATTTTTAGTCCTCGTAAAACACAACAGAATATAAATTTAGTTTGAGCTGTAAAAGTTTTTATAGATTTTCAAGATTGAAAGGATTTAATTTATGTTGTTTTCCCAGCTCCCCCCTTCCCTCACACCTCTTCATATAGAAAACAACAAGGAAACGTGATGAAAACACTGTCTCCCAGATAATCTCCGACATCGGAGTATAGAAGACAAATCTACAAAGAAATATTTACTGAACTGCTCCGACATCGGAATATAGATGACAAATCTACAAAAAGATATTCACTGAACTGTTCCAAAATCGGAGTAAAGAAGACAAATCTGCAAAGAGATCACAGATGAACTGTTCCAAAATCGGAGTATAGAAGACAAATCTACAAAGAGATCACAGATGAACTGTTCCAAAATCGGAGTTATAGAAGAAAAATCTACAAAGACAGAACCACAGAAATTTTCCGATGTCGCAGTAAATGAGCTACACAACATGTGATCAAGTTTCGCTACAGTCTTTGCCACAAACTCTAATTTTCTCATCCATACATCTTTGCAATCCCTTTAATATTTCAAACTATGAATTCTGTTACATTAAATAGTCTAAGTTTGAAATATCAAAGGTTTACAGCATCAGGTTTCAAAGATTTACGTATTAGAAAATTTGAGTTTGTGACAAAGACTCAAATTCTTTCTTTTAAGGGGTACGTGAATAGAAAACTCAGCCATTTTTATTAAAAAAGATACTTGATCTCTCCTGAAATCCAAACTTTAGAATAGTGGATATCGAGATCAATGCTTGATCTCATATTTTTTTTAATCTCAAGATTAATTTAATCATTAGTTTGTATCCTTGAAAGTGTTTTAAATTCAACCAATCAGAGTGTTAAAAACAGAATGCAAACAGCCAATCAGAAGCCGAGAAATTTTTTAATTTTGCGCGCGCACTCCATGAGAGAACTGTCATTGGTTGCAATCCAGGCGGGAAATCCAAAAGAGAGGATTAAGCATAGATTAATCAAAGGCGTCGACAGTGGATAAAGAGATTTAGAAATCAGGATTATGGGTAACCAAATAATCCGATGCAAGAGTTGTCAGCTCCGGATTTTTTTCGGACCGGCGAGGTTTGTTATTATGTCAGGAGTGTACTTCCATAAAACTTGATTTGCTTCGTTGGCAATGATTGGGATTATTCAGAATGGTCTAAAACTTCCAAAAAAGTGTGTTTCAGACTTCTAACAAAGCTTAAAGGAATTGAGTCTTTGTCACAAAATCTGCTTTTCTAAACCCTATATCTTTGGATTCCAATGTCGTAGACCATGCTTTCTGTTAGATCAAATAATATAAGTTTGAATTATCAAAGATTTACGACATTGGGTTCTCAAGAAATAAAAGATTATAAATTCAGAGTTTGTGGCAAAGACTCAATTCCTTTATCAGGGATCACACCTCGTATTTAAGAGATAACCCCTGGGACGATTAGAAGAGAATTATCCATTGAAGTAATCTTAACATTATCTCTTTGTACACACTTTATTCGCCAATACTCCAAGGATTTCAACCATTTTAATTAAAAAAATATTTGTGAGATGGAAGAATATTTCTTCAATAGAAAATGTGTTATAAATCAAATGATTTTAATCAAAAATGGATATTTATCAATGGAATTCAGAATAATTAATTTTTAATAATTCAATTCAATTGTATTCCGATGGTTTTTTATGTTTAAACTCCATGTATTCCTGGTTGGAGTAGCTTGAAGGATGAATACTCCAACTCCGTGAACTTGACAGAGCAAACCTCCACCAAGTAAGAAAGGAACATAATGATAACCTAAACATTAAGATCAGAACTCGGAGAGAAAAAATATTGTTCTGTGTTCTTCAGTTCAATCTACGTAAAATTAATGTTTTTCGTGTGATTTTAGATGGATGTAAATTTTGAAGCAGAAATTAGGGAAAGAAAAGAAAAATGAAACCCAACTTCGTAGCTATTTGAAAGACAGGAATCAGAAATACCTCTAAAGGCTTTACCACCAATTGTGGAGTATAAATGTAATCCAATGTTCAGGACTTAAATACATTCTTTAATATAAATCCTTCAAAGTACCAAGATTTCCTTGAGAAAAGTGCCAAATTCAATAATCATAAAAATTAATATTTTTAGAAAAGTAAATGTCAAAAAGTAAATTTGTGATGTAATCTAAGAATCATTGTTCAACATTGACTGGTAAATGTTTAAAAAAAGATTTTTGCAAGGATAAACTTTTGATTTCAGATTTACCACCAAGAATTCTGGTTACAAAAACAACTTTGGACCCTGTGATCTAAATCCTATTAAAATTCTTGAAGGTTAATCCCCCCTCCCCACCCCGCCGCTAAGCCAGCTACACTTAGATATCACTGGTCCTGAGTCTATAAGAGTATAGGATTTAAATGTTTAGATTTTTTTTGATTTTTAATTTTCACAAACGAAAACAGAAAATTGGCATAAATTATAGAATACAATTTAATTATGACGAACAGAAAATTCATAGAAATGCATTATAGAGAGTAAAGTGTGAAGTGTGTGCACAGAGCCCAAATCTTAAAACAGTGTATCGTAGTGGAACCCAGTATCGGATACCCAGTGCACAGAGCCCAAATCTTAAAACAGAGTATCGTAATGGAACCCAGTATCGGATACCCAGTGCACAGAGCCCAAATCTTAAAACAGAGTATTGTAATGGAACCCAGTATCGGAAATCCAGTGCACAGAGCCCAAATCTTAAAACAGAGTATCGTAATGGAACCCAGTATCGGAAATCCAGTGCACAGAGCCCAAATCTTAAAACAGAGTATCGTAATGGAACCCAGTATCGGAAATCCAGTTTCAAGAATGGGATCTGACAGTTTTGTAGATAATAATATTTTGTCTAAGAAATAATATTTTATATGGTTTCTTTGCATTCCCATTTTGTTTTCTGATTTCTTAAATTAAAATCTACGTAAATGCAGTGACCCCAAAATGGTTTCTCGAGAGTTTCGTTCGACGATACTCTCTTAAATTTCCTGGCTCTGTGCATTACTGTACAGTTGTACATATTTGTCTAATTTACCTGTATTTATTATAACCTCTTTATCCTTGTTTAGATAAACAGTTATCCATATACTCAGTATACCTATACTAGCCAGGATATTAAAGGATATACCAATCTAAATTAGTATACCTATACTAGCCAGGATATTAAAGGATATACCAATCTAAAAATATATAGATTGAACTGTATCCATATACCTAGTATACCTATACTAGCCAAGATATTAAAGGATATACCGATCTAAAAATATATAGATTAAACTGTATCCATATACCCAGTATACCTATACTAGCCAGGATATTAAAGGATATACCAATCTAAAAATATGTAGATTAAACTGTATCCACATACCCAGTATACCTATACTAGCCAGGATATTAAAGGATATACCAATCTAAAAATATATAGATTAAACTGTATCCATATACTTAGTATACCTATACTAGCCAGGATATTAAAGGATATACCAATCTAAATATATATAGATTAAACTGTATCCATATACTTAGTATATCTATACTAGCCAGGATATTAAAGGATACACCAATCTAAAAATATATATAGATTAAACTGTATCCATATACCTAGTATACCTATACTAGCCAGGATATTAAAGGATATACCAATCTAAAAATATATAGATTAAACTGTATCCATATACCTAGTATACCTATACTAGCCAGGATATTAAAGGATATACCGATCTAAATATATATAGATTAAACTGTATCCATAAACTTAGTATATCTATACTAGCCAGGATATTAAAGGAAATACCAATCTAAAAATATACAGATTAAACTGTATCCAATTGTAAACCAGGGACTGAATTTAATTAATTTGCTGGATCACTGAACTGTCTACAGCCGGTTCAAATTTGAATCACCGATTTAAATCCTATCTAAATCTTTAACTTTGAATCAGTGGTTCAAATTTAAACCGGCAGTAGGTAGTCTATCGATGTAGATCACATTCATTAAATTTGGTCGACTTTGAAGTGACACAACGCCTTAGGCTTTAATTTTACCGCTCTAACTCGCTTTTGCTTTTCTGTAGCCCTTCACATGTACATTTTAGCACTAAGAATTTGTGGTTAGCTTTGGTTTTTAAGAAGTAATTGGCAAAACTCTCAAACATTTTTGCTTGAGAGCGTGAGACCTTTGAATCACAGTGGGATATTAAAGGAGTAAATAAATTAGAGAATAAATGACATTTTCCATGATAAGATATCGAATATTGAAGCTGATAATGTATTTAGAATTTTCTGGAATATCTTCAATGATTTTATATTTGTAGTATTTAAATTCTATTCAGTTTAAATAGAGTTGTACTTAGTTTTCTGTATAAATACAACTTAAGTTTGAATCTGTATTACATGTAAAATATTATATTTAAAACGCTTTTTTTCATTTAAAAAAAAATATTTATTTAGATATATATTTTTAGATAATAATACTTTGAAACGTTTTGTTAATTTCCTACAGCGGTATTTTTATTAGTAATAAAATATATAACTAAAATACATAGTAGTTTCTATATAATATCTTACAGTGACTGGTAGATAGTTGATATTGTAGAGGGTTTCTATATGATATCTTACAGTGACTGGTAAATAGTTGATATTGTATAGGGTTTCTATATGATATCTTACAGTGACTGGTAAATAGTTGATATTGTATAGGGTTTCTATAGGTATGTCTTCACACACAGTCCTATTCCTCCCAGGCCAACTGCCTTTCTAAAAATATAGAGACTGTAAGTTTCAAAATTTCTCAATTTCAAAATTTCTAAACTCTAATTTTCTGGTCCCTATATCATTGCAACCAGCTGTGGAAGACTTCTGATATAAATTCTGCAAACCAGATCAATTATTTAGGAAATATTCCCACAACCTCTATTTTTGGAGGTTTTCAAATATTTTCTCCTTAAACACTTAATTTTGGATGTTCTTGTTATTTTTCATAAATAAATGATGACTTACTTTCTTAATTACTTAATAATGTTTCAAAGATATAAGGATTAGAAATTTAGAGATTGAAGGGAGAGGGTTAAGTTCCTTTAAACAATATAGGTTGAAAGAAATTGAGTCTTTGTCACACACATAAATTTTCAAATTCTAATATGTATACAACCTTATTGTGTAAACCGTTTATATTTCAAACTTAGATTATTTGATCTCACAGGATTCATATAGTTTGCAAACTAATGATTAGAACATCAGAGTTTGTGGCAAAGACTCAATTCCCTTGTTAAGAACGATAGAAGCCCGTGCAACAACAGCAGATAAGGTAAGTATCATTTATATACGTTTTTTATATTTTCTACGACTGCATATAAAAATGTTCTCCAACTCTACAATAGAGAGTCTTTCTGAGCTGGGAAATAGATTGAACAAAATTTTATCCGTTCTTGCGGAAGGAAAACCCCTGACAATGCTTGTTCAAAATTTTAAAAATTTTCCAAACCATGACTGATAAATTTCTTTTTAGTTCCAATTTTTTTCACAGTTGAGTTCAAATATAAAGAGATATCGGAAGAATTTTCAAAATGTCGTATTCTTATCCTTTTGATAATGGAATGCTGCAGATATTTAGAGGTTATAATTAAATGACTGTATGAAGCTATTTAAAACTGTACCCGCATATTCATGGCTATTTATTTATTTGTACAATTACTGAGATTTATGTACGTATAATTAAAAAATTATCAAGACGACATTTCATAAATTCTTTCGATTCTCAAAATCTCTGGGTTGAACTATATTTCTAATGATGTTTACCTCACAATATTTAATCTGTCCTTGTTGAAGAACAGCATTAGCTTGTAATTCTTGACAACTGTAACAACAATCATCGTAGGCGGTCAACTGCAGGGATAAATAGATTCAATAAAGGGATAGTTTATTTTAGTTTTACTCAAATAATTTTAAATTTCAATTGTGGTAATAAAATTAAGAAATATTTAGAAAAAATTCTAAAAAAAATTTTAGTATACGGCGTCTCGAAAGAATGCTTTGTACAATTAAAAAAATTCGTCGTAAACGTCGAGCCGTTAGATACAGGGTGTCCCACGAAACATGACAGTTGATTAATAGTTATGAATGTCGTCTTCCAAAAATTGTATTAGAAATTAAAGGCTTTTTGCAGTTTATTTCATTAAAAAATCTTTTGCCTTAATATATTTTACTTTGAAATCAATTTTACTATAATATGATTCCAATATAATATTTATATTTTTGTCTCTCTTATCAAACAACTTAAACTATTCACCAACTATGTTTCCTGGGACAGCCTGTATGATTTTTTTAAACTCGAATTAAATCACTGACGTTTATTGTGGTTTTGTATTTTACATATTCTAAACACATAAAGCCATTATTTCTTTTCAAATTATATGAAACGTCAACTGCATTTACATTTTACGGGTCAGATTACGCTGACAGTCCCTTTAAAAGGTTTGATTTTAAAATTTCAAAAGTGAGTTACCTCATCTGAAACCCTGTCATAAATCTGATAGGTTTCTCCAGTACATATTGGAGAACATAGGCTACTTCCAGTACCATCCTTTCTAAACTCAAGTACATAATATTAAAGTGTACTCTAGTACATATTGGAGAACAAAGGCTACTTTCAGTACCATCCTTTCTAAACTCAAGTACATAATATTAAAGTTTACTTCAGTACATATTGGAGAACAGAAGCTACTTCCAGTACCATCCATCCTTAACTCAAGTACATAATATTAAAGTTTACTCCAGTACATATTGGAGAACATAGGCTACTCCCAGTACCATTCATCCTTAACTCAAGTACATAATATTAAAGTATACTCCAGTACATATTGGAGAACATAGGCTACTTCCATTACCATCCTTCCTTAACTCAAGTACATAATATTAAAGTTTACTCCAGTACATATTGGAGAACATAGGCTACTTCCAGTACCATCCATCCTAAACTCAAGTACATAATATTAAAGTTTACTCCAGTACATATTAGTGAACATGAGGCTACTTCCAGTACCGTCCTTTCTAAACTCAAGTACATAATATTAAAGCTTACTTCAGTACATAATAGTGAAGATGAGGCGACTTCCAGTGCTATTTCTTTTCTAAACTCAAGCGCATTATATTAAAGTGTACTCTAGTACATTTTGGAGAACAGAGGCTTCCTTCAGTACCATCCTTTCTAAACTCAAGTACATAATATTAAAGGGTACTAGAGTACGTATTGGAGAACAAAGATAAGTTACCTCTAGAAATATTCTTTCTAAACTCAAGTACATAATATTAAAGTGTACTAGAGTACGTAATGGAGAACATAGGCTGCCTCTAGTAATATTCTTTCTAAACTGAAGTACATTATGTAAAAGTGTACTCCTGTACATATTGGAGAACAGAGGCTACCTCCAGGACCATCCTTGCTAAACTCAAGTACATAATATTAAAGTGTACTTGAGTACGTAATGGAGAACATAGGCAACCTCTAGTAATATTCTTTCTAAACTGAAGTACATTATATTAAAGTGTACTTCAGTGCGTATTGGAGAACATAGGCTTTCTCTAGGAATATTCTTTTTTAACTCAAGTACATAATATTAAACTTTAATCCAGTACATATATTGGAGAACAGAGACTACCTCCAGGACCATCCTAAACTCAAGCACTATTATTAAAGGTACATATTTGAGCTTCCTCCAAAACTATGTTTTCTAAAGTCGACCAGATATTATTAAATGTTTCTAAGGCGTGTATGAATTATTTTATGTAAAATAATTTCTTTAGTTTATAAAGTTTTGAAGCTTCAACTAAAAGGATTGAAGTTTTCTTTGTTTGATTCTATCAAAGCTAGACATTAGAATAAAAGATAGAGAACACTATATAGACCAAAATGTGTCAGAAGAACCCCGACCAAATCCGTAGTAAGTAAATTTATCTTGTAAAGCATATTGTGTACAGGACACTATGTGCTGTACTGTACATTCATTGTATTTACTACTAAAAACCAGAGGCTTACGAGAGCATTTGTGTAGAGGGGGCAATTAGAAAAAAATTCTGGGCCCCCCCCCTTGACAACATTTTGCCCCCCCCCTTAAACCCCTTTTTTTGAAAAAATATTGATACCTTTTTAACTATGTAAAGTATTCGATCATACCAGCGATTAAGGAATAGTTCTCCTTACCATATGATTATACATGCTTTGCAGACGGGTACTCCATTTAAATAAGACAACAACCTATTTTGAATATTTCATATACAAATGGAGTATCCGTCTGCAAAGCATATATAATCATACACACACTTCCATAGAACAAGTATTAATAAATTATTTGTGTAATTTTCTTAAGAGGACTCATCAGACACTTCCTCTTTATACTGTGGTGTAAGCGTCAAGGGATGGAAACGTTTCTTTAAAAATATCTTTATTTTCATGGGATCGATGCATATTGTATTATAAATAATGATATCAAAGATATTTACACTGAAGGCAGTATTGATTTAAGCTTATTTAATGAAACGTTTTAGTTAAGGGCAAAAGTGAGATTTTAAAGTATTTCTTATATGGGCACGCGTAGGGGGGACGGGGGCTCAGTCCCCCTCCTTCATACGGCCCTGTAATACACCTGTTCTTGAGTTAAACTACAAATAAACCTTTTCTGGAGTTAAACAACTAATAAACCTGTTCTGGAGTTAAAATATAATAAACCTAAAGTTGAACTACAAATAAACCTGTTCTGGAGTGAAACAACTGATAAACCTGTTCTGGAATTAAACTAGAAATAAACCTGTTCTGGAGTTAAACTAGAAATAAACCTGTTCTAGAGTTAAACTAGAAATAAACCTGTTCTGGAGTTAAACTACAAATAAACCTGTTCTGGAATTAAACTACAAATAAACCTGTTCTGGAATTAAACTACAAATAAGCCTGCTGGAGTTAAACTACAAATAAACGTGCTCTGGAGTTAAACTACAAATAAACCTGTTATAGAGTTAAACTTCAAATAACCCTGTTCTGGAGTTAAACTATAATAAACCTGTTCTAAAGTTAAACTACAAATAAACCTGTTCTTTAGTTAAACTACTAATAAACCTGTTCTAGAGGTAAACTACAAATAAACCTGTTCTTTAGTTAAACTACTAATGAAACCTGTTCTAGAGTTAAACTACAAATAAACCTGTTCTTTGGTTAACCCTATCCCCGCTGGGGTACTTGAAAACCAGGATACGCTGGGGGGGGTCAATTTGACCCCCCCTCTAAATCCCATGTTTTATGTCCAAATATGACAAATAATATCATCAGAAAGAAATAGAATCATTAGAAAGCTCTTGTGCTCTACTTTTAGAATCTGCAAAAAAATTTGCAAATTTGCAAAAATTGAATTTTTTATCGCAAAATCCAGTTTTATAGTAAAAATGTTTGCAAACAAAAATTTGTCCAAAAAATGAAAAATTATACATTTTTGAAAAGCCCTTGACCATGCCATTTCAAATATGCAAAAATTTTTGCAAAATTTTAAATAACCTGATTTTTAATCAAGAAAAACTAAAAATGTGGAAATTTCCTTTGACAGGTTGTTTGCAAAAAATTTGCAATTTTTTTTTCGCAAAATTTGTGCAATCCGTTTCCTTATGTCATAGGCTTTCCAAAAAGCTAAATTTTATCAAAATCTGACAAGTGAAAGTGGGTCAAAACAAAGATTTAGTTTGTTACAGGCAAAAGCAGTCATTCAGGCAGTGTGCCTGAGGACTCAGGCAGTTAGTATTAAAGCCCGGTTTTAGGCCTAAAGGGAGGGCTTTGGGTATGTAAGAAAAGTCAGAAAATTTCAACAGCCTCAGACCAATACTTTTTGAGTTATGTAAAAAAAACTACAGGGGGGGGTCAAATTGACCCCCCCCCCCAGCGGGAATAGGGTTAAACAACTAATAAACCTGTTCTGGCGTTAAACTACAAATAAACCTGTTCTTTAGTTCAACTACTAATAAACCTGTTCTGAAGTTAAACTACTAATAAACCTGATAAAGAAAGAATTAAACTATACTGATAATATATAATATACAAACAAATAATGATATTCTTGAGTTAAACTACTAATAAACCTGTTCTTGAGTTGGACTACAGGTTGAATGTTAAGTTTCCCAGTGTGGTCTCCCAGGTCCTCCCAGTTTCCAATTTTCTAAATATTTTCATTCCATTTTCCCAGGAGAGAAAGATTAAAGATAGAGATAAACAGTAGAAGATGTTATAGAAATAGGAGATACAGGGTTACCCATAAAATATCAGACTTCAGAGACGACTGTACGGAACTGTTACTGTCTGCTCTTGTATCGATGATTCTCTGCAACTGCAAACTGTTTAAATTTAGAAAGGGAGGATAGGATTTTTTCTCCGTTTTTCTGTTTTGATCGGAGAGAAACTTGAAATTCGCTAGAATCATCCTTTTTAACGCGTTGCTTTCTGACATCTTTAACAGACAACGTCAATCACTATTACTGGTCTAAAAGTTATTATTGTATTTCATAATACCTGGAATTTTCCCCTGAAGAATTGATAGATGGCATATTTAGCAGGACTATTCCCAATGCAGTCCAGATGTATCCTTCCTGTATCTAGAGATAAACCACAGGGTGGATAAAGTAGTATATACCAAAGACTTTGCTATATACAGGGCATTCCAAAAAACAAGGGAACCTTGATACGAGTTTAAGATTTCACTATAAGAAATGTCAAATTTTCATCTAACAATATTTGTTATTAGAATTACAAGACAGACAGAGAGCCTGTTCTAGCCGCGGCGCTCGGCCCCTAGTCTGCCCCAGCCGCAGCGCTAAGTCTATAAAGTGTCTTAACCCAGCCTTAACCTAAAATATATACAAATCGTTCTCTTCATGTATTTCAAGGCGGCAAGCGCACGTAACTTTCTTGGGCAACTGTTGATCGATGATAAATTTCGTTTAACAAAATTTGATGAATAATGCTTCTAAAATGAATTTGGCTTATGGTACTCCAACAAATTTTTTTAGACTTTTTAGAGTATATCTTTGATTTTTAAAAGTTTAAGAAAGAGTAACGACGACAAAGGGTGTTTCTAAACCAACTCGTACGTTTTTTTGAGTTTTTAAAATATGGTTTAACTTTTCTATATCAGGGTTCGATTGCATGGGTAGGAATTCGATTAAACAAAAGAATGTGTTTTTTGTAAAAAAAAAAATTTTTTTAAGTACGTTGTTTTTGTTAAACAAAATATTGATTTAGGAAGAATAAACTTGATACTTTTATGAAAATAATAATACAGAATAAATAATTTCTTATTTAAAAGGGAATTCTGATTTTCTAATCTCAATATCTCTGCGACTGACCTTGAGTTGTTTCCTCCCAGAGTTTGAGTTCACTGTTCACCCTCATTATATAATTTTTAAAGAAAAGATCCCCCTGGTAACTTCTATACAGGCAATCCCTAATTTAAAATAGGTTCATGTCAAATTCATGCATAATTATATTTATAATAAAACAAGACATTCATATATATATATTTCCTATAGCCGGCCAAACGGCTAGACCGAATGGGCTGAAACTTTTTGTGACACTCATGGGTGGCGGGGGGTGTTACATGCTTAAAAAAACGAAAACTATTTTTTCTCAACATTTTTTTTAATTTTCCACGGGCATCGTCAGGCCCTTCTGCTAGTATTTATTTTACGAAAAATCACATTTGTTATATACTTTAAAAACTTCAATTCACAAATATTATTATATAAACGATGAGAACATTGCTTAAAGGGAGTGTTCGCGAAAATGAAAGGGGGTATAGGCTTAATGCGATAAAAAAGCGCTTTTGATCGCTACTAATCTTACTTCTATCTGTTGCGTCTATAAGGAGAACAAATTGTTAAAGTCGTCTCATACCGAATAACTTAGCGCCCATACAAATTTAGAAAATTGCAACATACAACTTAGACCGTGAAAAACCAATTTAATTTCAAACAAATCATTCAGATATTACAACCTATAGTCATCGATTATCTTTCTCCACATTTGTATATAGTTTATATTTTATAATATTTTTTAATTAATTTGTTTTGAATTTGATTATTTCTCTTGTTGCTTGTGCAACTATCTAAGAATGCCGCGCACCACTCACATTTTTCGAAATCCGTTAAAACGTTTTCTAAAAAATAAAATTAATTAAAAATATAAACTATATACAAATGTGGCGAAAGATAATCGATGACTATAGGTTATAATATCTGAATGATTTGTTAGAAATTAAATTGATTTTTTATGGTCTAAGTTGTATGTTGCAATTCTCTCAATTTGTATGGGCGCTAAGTTATTCGGTATGAGACTTTTTAACAATTTTCTCCTTATAGACGCAACAGATAGAAGTAAAATTAGTGGCGATCAAAAGCGCTTTTTATCACATTAATCCTTTCATTTTTCGCGAAAACTCCCTTTAAACATAATTGTATCAATCTATTTAAGTTAAAAAACTGCTTAAAACGTATTGTTCATATAGATGGGCCGGGTGGGGGGAACCCCTACGGTACTTCTATAAATTTGGCTTGTCTGTCTGTTTGTTTGTATCCAATAAACGTCAAAACGGCTGAACCGATCGGGCCAAAATTTTTGTGGGACAACTAGGGACCCCAGGGAAGGTTTATGAATGATCAAAATTTCAAATATTTGTCTCCATCAAAATTCGATCTTCATATATAAATTTGGCTTGTCTGTCTGGGTGTCTGTTTGTTTGTTTGTCTGTCTGTTTGTTTGTATCCAATAAACGTCAAAACGGCTGAACCGATCGGGCCCAAATTTTTTGTGGGACATCACGTGACTACAGGGAAGGTTTATGAATGATAAAAAAAATGTGTTGTAAAGGTTTTTAATTTTGTAAAAAAAATTAAATTCTTAAAAATCCGCGAATATTTTTTAAAAAATCCGCAACATTTTTTTCTTCTTTGTTTTTAAATGTATACCAAAAGAACATGTACACCGTTTAAATAGAAGATGGGCGCGAAGCGCCCTAAAAGCCTTTGAAAGAAGGGCGCGAAGTGCCTTGAATTTCTAGTGCTTGTAAATTACACAATTTGTAATTTTCTAAAAAATAGTACTTGTCCAATTCGCAGGAGGAAAAGAATGATTCGATTGCTTCACTAAACAGTACTGCAGCATTCATCACATTTTCGATCTTTAATAAATTCATTAATTGATTTATGTAACAGCAAACAATCTTTTTTTATTTTTTATGATAAGGGATCGACCGTATGTGATGAATTGGAGAGTATGCTGAACTACTTACCGCCGGTTCAAATCTTAAATCACCAATTCAAATCCTCATAATTGCTATGTTTACATCGGTGATTCAAATTTGAACCGGAAGTAGGTGGTTTAGCGACCTAGCTCAATATCATTATCTTCGGTCCAAGATGGTGTATAGTGCAGGGGCGTATGAATATATTTTTCAGTGAGTCATGTCTCGATCAACAAATTTTTAAGAAAAATAAACTTTAAAGTCTCCACTTTTTTGATTTTTTAATTTCTTAATTTTTCTTTTTTAAGAGAAGAGTTTAATTGAAAAAACGGAGACAATCCCTTTATTGGATCTGAAAACATACCTTTGTATCAATAGCAAACTGTTCATCTACTTGCGCCAGATCACAGTCCGCTGATTCATAGAGATTATATTACTTTAATTAATCAGATTATATAGACGCTGGCGCTACTGGGACATTTGTAGGGGAGGGCGATCAATTCTTTTGTAAATTATATATTACAAGGCGCGCCATCACCCTTAACGAAAAAATCAAGAATGCCATCTTACTAAATTTCCGGGGGTTTTTTCATATCTTTTTCACTAATTGTTTCCCCATAAATTTTCGTTTTAAGAGTTTCTATAACGTGAGGTGTCCATTGCCCAATCAATTAATTTGTTACAAAATGGGGCACTGTGAAGTCCAGAGGCGTATTCACGGGGGGGAGGGCTATTGGGGCTCAGCCCCCCCCCAGGACCAGTGAAACCTATTGATTTCAGGGGGTTTTCATGCCCCAACGGGTGCTGAGCACCTCCCTGGAGAGAAAACAAAATTAAGCTCCCCCCTGGACAAATTCCTGAATACGCCCCTGCTGTGGACCCAGTAGGTATGAAAGCGTTTTTATCAAAATAAATATCTATATGTATTGTATATAGATATAAATTGGCTACATTATTGCCTAAATTAACCATAATATGTCTTATCAAAATCAAAAATAAATACAATGGTTTTGTCAAGTAGCTTATTTGCACCATTCATTAAACATCACAGAAATATCAGAGGCGTTTGTCGAAGAATAGAATGCCAAATATTAGAGTTGTGTGTTGAAGAAAAGATCACAAATATCAGAGGTGTGTGTCGAAGAAAAGAGTGCTTAATATCAGAGGTGTGTGTCGAAGAAAAGAGTGCCAAATATCAGATGTGTGTGTCGAAGAAAAGATGCCAAATATTAGAGTTGTGTGTTGAAGAAAATAATGTTAAATAGCACAGGTATGTGTCGAAGTAAAGAGTGCTAAATTTCAGAGGTGTGTGTCGAAGAAAAGAGTGCCAAATATCAAAGGTGGGTGTCGAAGAAAAGAGGGCCAAATATCAGAGGTGTGTGTCGAAGAAAAGAATGCCAAATATCAGAGGTGTGTGTCGAAGAAAAGAATGCCAAATATCAGAGGTGTGTGTTAAAGAAAAGAATGCCAAATATCAGAGGTGTGTGTCGAAGAAAAGAATGCCAAATATCAGAGGTGTGTGTCAAAGAAAAGAATGCCAAATATCAGAGGTGTGTGTCGAAGAAAAGAATGCCAAATATCAGAGGTGTGTGTCGAAGAAAAGAGTGCCAAATATCAAAGGTGTGTGTCGAAGAAAAGAGTGCCAAATATCAGAGGTGTGTGTCGAAGAAAAGAGTGCCAAATATCAGAGGTGTGTGTCGAAGAAATGCCAAATATCAGAGGTGTGTGTCGAAGAAAAGAGTGCCAAATATCAAAGGTGGGTGTCAAAAGAAAAGAGTGCCAAATATCAAAGGTGTGTGTGGAAGAATGCCTTAAAAACCTGTGGACCAGGGTCACGTCAATTTGAACTCGAACCGGACCAACCCTTTGTACCGGCCTTTGTGACTCGTGGCTTGTACCGACCCGACCCTATCCTATTTCGGCTCGGTTTCAACTTTGATGGCAGGCCAGAATTTTTGCGTTAACCGGCCTATCGGCTATCATTGGCCTATTTGACATACCCCACTAGCTTAGCATCGTGTGTGGAGGGGGGGGGGGGGTATATCGTACATCCATGATTTTTCTCAGACTTTAGTTGATAATAAAATCAATAGGGCATGGTGGCCGCATGTGGGTTTCTTCCAATATCCCAGCAATTTAACGGGAATGGTTGTAGATGGTCATAAAGATATTAAAAGAATTGAGAATTGTGCCCGGAATTGGTAGCGGCAAATATCTAGATGTTTTCTATGTCTTTTATTAAAAAACAGTCTTTTGCAGTTGAATAACAAGAGTTTTAGTTTTATAAAGTTAAACACAAAAGATATACCTAGATCAAGGTACTAATGCAAGGAAAGTTATTTCACAGGTGTACGCATTTTTTGTACTGCAGTGTACTGTATTTGGGCGGAAAAGTAAACACAAGACGGATGTCACAACCTCACATGGAAGCCATTTTCACAAAAATAATCTATGAAACATTCTGGTCTATAGGCTTTTATAAGGCTTTTACCCTCCTCGGATACTAAACGAACACTGATGCATATTTTCTTTTTTACAAAGCCCGCCCAGAGAGAACTGGTTTTAATATGTACACAGAGTATACGCGACCGCAATTAACTTTCCTTGCATTTGTGCCTTGAACTAGATCATCTATATTTGTAGTACTAGTACTTAAAGATTTTAAACGCGAGTTATTGGTTTTTCATTTAGTGCTTTAAGCAAGAGTTGTTCGTAGCTCTTTTGGAGTTTATAAACAAGAGTTATTGGGAGTTCGTTCTGAGTTTGTAAATGAAAGTTATTGGTACCTCGTCTAGAGTTTTAAATGTGAGTTATTGGTAGATTTTTTAATAATTTATTAACCGATTGAAGTCGTAGATATTCTTGAGTTTATTCCTAAGAACGTAAGAACTCTTCTAAAATTTTTTTTAAATGGTTATGGGAGTTCTTTCAGAGTTTAATAGCGGGAATTATTTCTTAAAATTATTTTCGCGGATTTGAAATAAAATGAAAATATCCATTGCTTAAAAAACTATAAATCCGCGAAAACATATCAAAGATGAAAGTATCATAAAACTTTTAATTATCAAATTATTTCTCTCCTAAGTTTGCTGAAGTACTGCAGCAAGAAACGGATTTCCAAATCTTTCTGAAAATATTTCTCAACTTTCAGTGATTGTTCTTAATTACATTTCATGTTATTGTTTTTCAGATTGCAAATGGTAATTCTTTTCACTGCCTTGCTGGATTTTTTTCTGCTGCATTCGCTAAATTCCCCATTTTTTAGTTTTCTGCGAATCATGTTATTTTAGTAAAATTCTAGGTAAAGCTTTTCAGTTTTCGTGGTCTTAAATTTAAACATGTAGAATTTAGAATTAATGAACTAAATGAATTGAGTTGTTGCCACAAACTCAAATCTTCTGATCCCAATATCTTTGCAACCTGATGGCGTAAACCTTTGTTATTCCAAACTTAAACTATTTGAACTAACATAATTCATACTTTGAAATAAATAATATCCTACGACATTGGATTGTACAGATAAAGGGATTAGAAAAATCAGAGTTTGTGGCAAAAATCCCATTGTAGAAATTATTAATTTATTACAATTTAATCAAATATTATAATTATTTGATCTATGGTCTAGTGATTTTGTAATTAAAAATTAAACTAATTAATATTTTTGTAAAATGAGAAAATTTCATTAAAACCTAAAATTAACGAAAGGGACTATAGTTGTAATTTTAATTGACTTATTCACAACGGCACACTTTCAGAAAAAAAAACATGGATATCTAATTCATACAGAAAAACTTTTATGGGACTCGTTTTGAATGTTATATTATTTCACATTATGTCACTTGAAATTAAATTTACACTCCCTTTAATTTTACCTCAACCAAGGATTACTGTTGTTCTGTGGAGTCTCAAGAATACTAAAATATAATTAAGTTTATGCAACAAATTCAAGTTTTCTTATCCCTATATCTTTGTAAACCTTTGATATTTCAAACTTAGATATAGATTATTTGATCTTACAGAATTCATAGTTTAGAATATCTAAAGTCTACTACATTGGGATGCAAAGATATAGGGATTAAAAAATCTGAGTTTGTGAAAATAAACTAAGGTATATAACTTTTTAATTGTTAATCCATTCAATTTAAAATTCGGATCTTATGAAGTTTACTAGGTTAATTTACTTATAATTTACGTATGGATGGTTTAAGAAAGTATTCCATGAAAGCTTTGTATGTTTATCAAACAAACAAAAAATTTCCCTCGGGTAGTGTAGAAGGAGAGGATAGCAAATATACGGATCAGCGTTTATACGGCGTAAGTACTAATTTCAACTATCACTTGAAATTACAGTTACAGTCCCTTAAATGTAGATCAGCGCTATCGCACACAAAAGTTCCGACCCCTGAGTCCTAATTTAATGAATTTGAGCTGCGTCTCAAATCCCCCAAAAACCGGTTTCAATTGAGAGCCGGCTTAAATATTTAAAAACATTTAATACGATTTTAAGTGGAACCAACTATGTTAGAGCCGCGGCTCAAATTCTTTAAATTCGACCTCTGGTTTAATAATGGGAAGAATTAAAATCATTTTTAATTTAAAGTCCCCCCCCCCTCTTTCTTTCACGATTATAAAATATTCATTTCCCTAAAGAGAATAAATAAATATTAAGTTCAATTTATTCTGAAAAATTCTCTTTGAATTTAACCTTGAAACTAGATTTTTTAGATGGTTTCGAATAGATTCTTCAGCCATCTTAGAGTTTTCAGGGACTATGGTGATGGAACCCTAAAATAAACATTGATGGAAAAAATTTTCTTAAAATTTTGTTTCGACAAACGAAACTGAATTTTTGCTCAAAACTTTTTTTTAATTCATATTTCTTTGCAACCCGATGCTGCATACCTTAAGTGTTTTAAATTAAAAATTCTGTTGGATCAAATATTTAATATATTAAAGGTTTACACCATCAGGTTGTAAATATATAACAATTAGAAAAGTTGAGTATGTAGTGAAGACTCGATTCCTGTCATAGACAGGGGAAATATTTGTCTGATGTTACAATTACCGCGTATACAATAACCTATTCTGAATATTTCTTATACAAATGGAGTACCCGTCTGCAAAGCATGTATAATCCTATGGTAGGACGAACCGTGTCAGTTATATCTCCCTTCTATTCCTTACTCCCTGGTCATAGACGTTAAAACAGGACTGATTATAAAATTATTAATTATGCAGGTTCCATCAATCAGAGAAGCCCCAATAAATCTGGACTGAAGAACCGATGACAGATCGCAAAAGTACAAATCAGCTGTTTTGTACAGATCTAACCTTAAAATTTCTTTAAATTAGAATTGCATTGTTTTTGTATCATTAAATTAGAAACTTTAATTATGCTCAAGCATTTAATTCGTTTGTACCTCTAAAAAATCAGATACATTGTATACTCCTAGATCGTCAGATATATCCCAGGTATCTGTAGCGATCATCTGCAATCTTCTTGGTTGTGATCCACTCCTCTTCAGATCTTGCAGCACACGGAGAAAATCTCTTAACATTTTGTGAATTATTTGTACGATCTCACTCTTCAAAGGACGACCTTTTGTTTGGAAACCAGCGCTCAGCGTAAGCGATTAAACTTAGGTAAGAGGGTTAAAGGGAATGTAAGCGTAATTTCAAGTGATCCACCATGCAAAGGTAAACATGTCCAATTCACAACATTAATCTTTGAAAGCTTTGACTGATCAAGTATGAATTTAATATCAATGTTTATAATTTTGAAAACGGATTATTTTTAAGCGTGGTTTCTCTACAAAATTGACTTGCGCATATATTTTTACTGAAGGAAAACAAAGGAATAATCAGAATTAAACACTTTTAACCTAGAAAATGACAATATCTTCCACATTATTGATATAAAAAGGTTTGAAGAGCACCGTTGAAAACCTGAAATTACGCCTAGTCCCTTTAATGCCTTCTATCGGTCTCTATCAGGAAGAAATGAAGAAGTGACCAAAGTCCTCGAATACAAAATTTTGCTCCCAAAATTATCAAGAAATATTTTCTAGCTATTCTTTAATACTCATGGATAAAACTTATTGGGTTGCTTCGGTACAAGGCACCGATTCCACTGATACTTCATCGTAAAGTAGAGAACAGCTAATCTTAATATTTTAAATTTTAAACTGTTTGAATTTGTGTTTTTTTTTTCTTTGTTAAAAACTTACATCTTGGATTCAGCTTTGATTGCAACAACAAATGCATCAACTTTGGACTGATATAAACTTTCTAAACTTATCTGCTGGATAGATGAATAAAAACTTTAATTTTGCGGGAAAACTTTTGCAATAATACCACCTACACTCCTTGCAAACAATTCATTATTCTATTAAAGTTTTAGGTTTTCTTTGATTGTGTTTCGTGTAGAATGAATGGGCCAATATAGCAGTGCAGAGGCTCAGGTTGGTTTCATGTAGCAGGATTAAATATGCTCAAGCTAAAAATAAAATTTAGACCAAACAAACATTTTATGGTGTGATCACAACAAATATACGAATAACTTTGTGCAGGCTTTCCTTGGTCTCTTAAAAAAACAGGTGGCCCCAAATAAAGTTAATAAATCAAATTTTTAGTTTGTTAAAATGTCTACCAAAAGTACTGTTTTAAAAGAGTTAATCTTTTTCACATTAACCCTGGGATAAAAAATAATCTGAACACTCTCCTAAATTTTACAAATAACGAGAAGTATTTAAACTACAAGGGCTAGGGAGTTAGGAACACTAGAGTCTGAGTCGATTAATAAATGTCTTTTCAATGTGCATTGTGCACAAATATAACCAGAAAAACCCGCAAAATAAACTTGAATCCCCTTGGTGATGGAAATTAATCCCTGTTATTTATGCTCAACCGGGTATAGACTTAATTAAACAGGAGTATACCTTTTCTCTTTCATTCTTTGTGACTACTCTATTTAAGCTTAGGTGTGAAGAATAAATAAGATTTAAAAGTTTCCTTGTTAATATGATTCACAAGTGCTTCAAACTCAGTTGATAGATTGGGATCCGAGCTAATGGACGGTCGACTACCATCAGATATATGGGGTCGACCATCATCTGATATAGGGGGTCGACCACCATCAGATATAGGGGGTAAATCATCTCCTGATATAGGGGGTAGACCATCATCTGACAAAGAGGGTTCACTACCATCAAATACAGGGGTTTGACTTTCATCAAGGGAGGATCTTTTTACTCTGCTGAGAGACTTGACTGAGCAGGCGCACTGGTTTGAAAACCCAGAAAGAACTGGAAACCTGAATAAGGAAGAACAAGTTTTCTATAAATATATGTTTTCAAAATTTCGTGACCAATGCAATGAACTAAATTTTTCTTGCCTGACTATATCGCAGATAGAGAAGTTTTCTGTGTTTCCATTGTATTCAATCTCCTTCTCCAACGAGGCAGCTAAACTATCACTATTACTATCCTTCACAGTTCCGATGACCTAGCAGTAGCAACAATATTATATTTTTATTCATGTTTCCATCTCAGGGGACTGTCGACACATTATCAAGTGACCGTCAATTTATGTTACATGACCGATTTACAACGGTACCCTATTGCCCATTATCTGATAAATAGTAAAATGTATATCTTTAAAATTCCATCCTTTCCTCTGGTACATAAACCCACGAGTTACTTTTACAGAGAATTGTAGTTGAACAAAATATTCAAGGAAAACTCCATTAATTTTCCTCAGACGAAGGTTCTAAGGTTTCTGTAATAAATGGAACCTGCCAATCTTTAACTGTGAGATCACTTGAAACAACGTTTTCAGTTTCTCTAAGAAGATAAATAAGAAATGTCAAACGTCCATGTATTGGACCAGATTAAATCCAATCAAATTGAGAAATGTCTATGTTTGGACCAGATTAAATCCAATCAAATTAAGAAATGTCTATGTTAGGACCAGATTAAATCCAATCAAATTAAGAAATGTCTATGTTTGGACCAGATTAAATCTAATCAAATTAAGAAGTGTCCATGTTTGGACCAGATTAAATCCAATCAAATTAAGAAATGTCCATGTTTGGACCAGATTAAATCCAATCAAATTAAAAAATGTCTATATTTGGACCAGATTAAATCCAATCAAATTAAAAAATGTCTATGTTTGGACCAGATTTAATACAATAAAATTAAGAAATGTCTATGTTTGAACCAGATTTAATCCAATCAAATTATGAAATGTCTATGTTTGGACCAGATTAAATCCAATCAAATTATGAAATGTCTATGTTTGGACCAGATTAAATCCAATCAAATTATGAATTGTCCATGTTTGAACCAGATTAAATCCAACCAAATTATGAAATGTCTATGTTTGAACCAGATTAAATCCAATCAAATTATGAAATGTCCATGTTTGAACCAGATTTAATCCAATCAAATTATGAAATGTCTATGTTTGGACCAGATTAAATCCAATCGATCAAATTATGAATTGTCCATGTTTGAACCAGATTAAATCCAATCAAATTATGAAATGTCTATGTTTGGACCAGATTAAATCCAATCAAATTATGAATTGTCCATGTTTGAACCAGATTTAATCCAATCAAATTATGAAATGTCCATGTTTGAACCAGATTAAATCCAATCAAATTATGAAATGTCTATGTTTGGACCAGATTAAATCCAATCAAATTATGAATTGTCCATGTTTGAACCAGATTAAATCCAACCAAATTATGAAATGTCTATGTTTGAACTAGATTTAATCCAATCAAATTATGAAATGTCCATGTTTGAACCAGATTAAATCCAATCAAATTAAGAAATGTCTATGTTTGGACCAGATTAAATCCAATCAAATATGGAAATGTCAATATTTGGACCAGATTAAATCCAATCAAATTAAGAAGTGTCCATGTTTGGACCAGATTAAATCCAGTCAAATCATAATGCGGGGATTTTCTAACTGCTTCCAAGTTTTAGATTGGAGTTTAATAAACATTGGATTTACAGCCTGGACCTTTTCTATTGCTATTATTTTTTAACTCAGTTTCGACCTGATTTGAGCCAAAAATACAAATTTTAAATCTCTATTTCTTTGCAACCAGATAATGTAACCTTTGAATTTTAAAACTTAGATTATTTGAATTAACAGAAATCATAGTTTGAAATATATAAGATCAACAACATTGGGTTGAAACGATAAAGGGGTTATAACATCAGAGTTTGTTGCAAGAACTCAGTTCCTTTGATCCGGATACCGAAGCTAGGGTTTTAATGCCTTAATGTGACTGATATTGATGTTTACACCTTAAATGATGCTAGATCAAAGTGTTGAATAATATCATAGATTGCTCGAGCTTGAATCTCATCAGACCAGACTGTTCGAGCAAACATTAAAATTGAAAAATTGAAAATTGAAAAATTGAAAATTGAAAAATTGGAAAATTGAAAATTGAAAAATTGAAAATTGAAAAATTAAAAATTGAAAAATTCGAATTACCGTTGCTAAAGGCTGGGTGACACTGCTATATGAAGCTCCTACGACTCCAATAATAACATTGTCTTCACCTTTTCATTTTCCAAAAATTATATAATTTTAATAAACATCGGAATAAAGCCAATAAAGTTAGTTTTTGTTAATAAATAAATAAAATCCTTCGTTAAATAAAATCCTTCGTTAAATAAAATCCTTCGTTCGACTGATCCATAAAATGCATATGACCATTAACGTTTTTGTTTCATTCGCTAGTTTTAAAAAAAACTAAAGTTTTCATCTATTCCCCACGGTTTTACTCGTTTCATTCACGAGAATTTTTGTTTGTTTTGAAATATTCCGTTCGTTGCCCATCTCTAGGGAACAGTCCCTTTAAAATATTGGTTACCTGAGGCTTCTACTTTAGTTTTAGCGTCTAGAATAGCCCTGTTTTAAACAATAAAAATAATTGTCTACAGTTGAGGATTTAACATTCAGTATATATATTTCTCCCATTCAGATTCAAGAATAGGAAACGGATTTATTTTAAATAGAATTCCTAATATTTAAAATATTCCCAGACCCTCGACATAAGCCCAGAGATTTAAACTATTCTATTCTTATGAGTTTTTATGTTTTATTGTTAGAAAATGTATTTATGAGAAATTAGCATGAAATTAATAAAAATTTCTCGGAGTGAGTCTTTGCACATACTCAAATTTTCTAATCTCCATTTATTTGAAATATTACGTTGTAAACCTTTGATATTTTCAAATTAGATTATTTAATATAACAAAATTCATGGTTTGAAATTTCTAAGACCTACGACAATGGGTTAAAAAGATTAGAATGGATTAGAAAATTAGTTTTTGTGACAAAACTCTTCTCTTTATTTATTATAATTATTATAAGTTCCCGTGCTGCATGTGGAGTTAAGACTGTTTATTTATAAGTTGTATCTTCCGTTGAAAAGTTGTGACATGAGGTTAAATATATAAAAGGTTTAAAGTTTATGTTTATTGCTGTCTCCTAACAGTATGCTCTGCCAGATTGTCAGAGCAAGTATCATAAATATACGTTTCAAGGAACACTCGCCTATCCTCTAAACTAAACAAAATATAATATTTTCTTTTATGTTTTTTAAGAAACTTTCTATTTAAAAAAGGGACATTCCTGATTCACAAAGGAACCCTTCAAACCTTTGACTGATCATCGAGGACAGTTATCTTCGTTTGTTGGTCTCTTAAATGTTAAATGACGCGACTGAAGATACACTTGTTTCCCGAATATTCAGAATATTCTGTTTTCAAAAATTCGAATGTGAATATTTATGTTCTATACCATCTAAAAAGTTAATAGTAATTTTCGTAAATATTAAACGCTCTTGCAACGTTCAACAATAACAAGCGTGTCTATAAATAATAAGGAAAAGTCTGTCAACGAGGTTTTCAAAAATTCAAATGTGAATCATCATTGATCAGTTAAAGATTGTAAATCTGTGAAGCCCCTCTTGAAATAACAGTCCCTCAATAAAGGAAATAAAATAAAATTAAATTATAACATCCATGGTAACAATAATCAAGGTCACTGAATGCAGAATGTATTGGAAGATATAGATGCTACATTACTATTTGGCATATTGAGTTTAAAAACTCTAATGCTTGGCTTCAAATAAGTTATATTTAAATCAATAGATTAATGTATATAAAGCATGAAAAACCTGTTTATTTTGTTGACTGCCCAAACGAACGCCTCCATGCGCTGAAATCCATTGTAGTTCTTAACACAAACCAGCTGATCGCAGGCAGGTCCGTGGGAAACCGGAAATAGCGCAATAAGAGTAACGCGTGGGCGTGGATCCCTATCCGGTCGAATAGAACTGAAAAAAATGTACACTTTGTCTTTTTCAAAACTCAATTTTACAATCCCTATATCATTGAAACCTATTTGTGAAAACCTTTGATATTTCAAACTTAGATTATTTGATCTAACAGAATTCATAGTTTGAAATATCTAAGGCCTGTGTCATTGGGTTGCAAACATATAGGGATTAGAAAATCAGAGATTGTGTCAAAGACTCAATTCCTTTACTTTTAACGATTCTGCTAATTGTAATTCAATTATGAAAATTTTACAAAGCTTCTAATTGAGTAATAACTTAGTATTTAAGGTTTTTTTTGATCAATTAATTAATCCCTGAATAGATTTTTCTTTGTAGCCTTAATTATGCCCTCAGAGATCTGTCAGATTACAATGCCTGCTTTACAACGGTACCCTTGAAAACCTTTATCCAATAATATTGAAGATAACGTCGTTTTCCTAGGCTTAACAGTTTTTAATTCTAATAATTCCTGCTTTCCTGCAGTAGAAGAGAGCAGGTCAATTTTGTAGAGAAACCACAATTTTAAAAAACTGTTTTCAAAATTAGAAACATTTAAATCCAATTCACAGTTGACCACAAAAAGCTTTGAAGGGTACTGTTGTGAATCAGACCAGTATAAAATTAGAAGAGAGTAATTAAAACAGGAAAATGTTCGGCCGGCGTTATTACCACAAACCCCTCCTTTTTTCCAATACTTCCGTGAATACTGAAAATTCAATTATCATTTAGTATAATTTTACTTTATTTAGTTCCGATTCATGTCATTTTAATTAATTGTCAAAATTAGTTTTGGAAAAGAATTCTGTTTTATTCCAATCAACATTTCATGTTTGAACTGCATTCCATATTTTTATTTAATCTAATTTATTAAACCTCATTGAATGCTACAGTTTGCATATGTTGGGATTAATTTTCATTTTTAAATGCAATGTATTACATAAAAAAATCATAAAGCTGCAAATTCCAAAAATGGTTAGTTATCACAGAATATAGCTAGGGCAGTTTATAAAATTTAAGTTGGATCGGCATGCATGGCCTGCATGCCTTAAAAGGAAACAAATTCCGTCAATTTCCTGCCTTGAAAGAAAACAAATTCCGCCAATTTCCTGCCTTTCAAAGCATGCATGGCCTGCATGCCTTGAAAGGAAACAAATTCCGTCAATTTCCAGCTATATCTCTGCTATTTAAAAAGAACCCTCTGTTAAAACTTATATATTTCAGATGAAAAATCAAGGATTTACACAGATTTTTTTTAGAACCTTTTGAATGGCGATTCACTTGAAGTAATGTCAACAATCTCTTTTAAAATATTTATTTATATACCTTCTATATAGAATCAGAGGGTTCCCGGGCCCAGTGTCCATTTTGCAGGTTCTCTCCAGATTCTCAACAGCTGGTATCTGCATACATTATGAATTTTGCATATGCAAAATAAAGTATGCAAATCTTGGAAAAATTAAAAAATACTAGTGTTATAATAAGACCAATGTACAGGGTGAATTTTAATCGTCAATTTTTTTAAATGTTCACCAAAGAAAAACAAGGTACAACAAAAATATAATTTTGATATTATTAACTCGTTATTACATGACATTTGATACAGACATTATTTATCTCCAGCATTGTTTATATTTCTCTGCTACAGGAGGCTCTTAAACAACTTCAAAACTTCGAACCCGATATTTGGACAATTTGACTTTTTTACATCACATGGAGGACGAATTTAATATTTTAAAAGCTGGAATCGTATTCGCAAGATCTGAGCTGAGCTGAAAACTTTAGAATGGTTTAAGAAATAAATTCATAATTTCATAAATATCCAGATTAAATATTGCTTGTTCTCCACATGAATTTAAACTCCAGTTTAATTATTCGACGGGATATCTGGATATTTCATTCTAAAGTTTTCAGCTCTGGTAACTTTAGAATGGGATACCTTTAATCCCAAGTGCTTAATCCGAATATCCAATGTGGACACTTTTAATTTCTTCCTTAATCCACTCTATTTTGGATATAGTAGAGAAAAATAAAAAAACCGGGGTTTAAGAATTAGAAAGCCCCTCCCGTTTCTGTACATTAATCTTAAATGGCGTGCAAAATGTCAAATTTCCCGGCTTCAGATACGCGACTCTGATTGGTTGAATTTTATACACTTTTCAGGATTAAGTTCAAGATTAGGTTAGTCTCGCGCGAGATTAAGAAAAAGAGAGGATCAAGCATTGATCACGATACCCACCATTCTATAGTTCCCAACTCTGCTCAGATAGCTAGGGTCCTTTAAAGTTATTAAAAGTTTACAACTGGTCAGAAACCATAATTAAAAATTTTTTTTAACAATTATTTTATTGAGAAAACGGAGAGAAATCCCCGAAAAATGTTGTATTTTTAACACTTTTTGACCTATTTGAGGGAGACCTGTAATTGTTGCTTCGGGAATTATCAAATGTCAGACAGTAAGTAAGAAATCGGGAGATTTTCTATTTAATTTAGAGATTTTTTATCCAATTTAGCATAAATGAAAAAAATCAACTCTTAAAAATGACCCAGTACAGTAGATTTTATGCAGACTTAATTCAATTCACATGCATCACATGCACTATTGTTCAGTCAGAAATTCTGATATGACAAAAAATATTTTTTTTTCATGAGAAATTTAAATGTTCAAATTATCCATTTTCTAGTTTTAAAATAATAGTCTAATAGTCTAATAGTCTAATGTTGCGTTGAATGTCAAAAAATAAGATTTGTTTAACCTTCCGACATATCATATTTTTTTGTAATTATTTTTCCTCTTTGAGGTTGGTAATATTGCCTCTGATCTTTATATTATACCTTCTTACCTGGAGTAAATGTGTAAATAAGAAAAATAAAAACATCTTCTGTAACTTATCTAATATAGAAAAATGAATATGCTTTTCGTCTTAATTTCTGAGTCAATGTTCCGTATATGTGTAATAAATACAGGGGCATGTCCCATAGTAACCTAGATAAATTACGTTGTACATTGTCCTCAAACATAAATGCGTTTATCAGGAAATA